CAAGGAGCCTGACTCCAGGCCCTTTATTCTTAACCTCTCCACGTGGTTGTCTCCCCAAAACCAGAGATGCAGATCCAAGCCTACTCCCAGCGCCCAGGGACCCACTTTCTTGGGAACAAAAGCTGGAGCCTCTGGGTGGACCTCAGCCTGGACACCCTCTCCCCTGGCCCCCAAGGCCGTCACTGAACCCCTCCCCACCCTCTGTTCCTAGGGGCTTTTTCCCTGTCATCTTTGGCTTCCTGGGCAATGCCTCCAACATCCCCTTTCTGAGTGCGGTAAGTGAATAATGCGCGTGCTTTGGGGTGGAGTGGGGGTCCCAGATGAGACTGCCGTCCCGCGTGGCAGACCCTTCCCCATCTCCCCTCAAACCCCTTTCCCCAGGTTGGCCAGCCTCAGCTTCCCTTCCCGTGCCCACACCGACTCCGTCCGACAGGAGCAGCTGAGGGGAGGGGCCCAGGAGCATTGCTCCTGAGGCCTGGGTAGAGAGGAAGCTGGCTCTTCATAGCTCCTTATTAGAGCCAAAGAAACAGATTCAGGGAGTCTAGGTGATGCAGCCAGAAAGTACCAGAGATTTCTGGAGAGCTGGCGGAGTCAGCCCCAGGCATGGAGGGGACGCATGACAGCCAATGATAGCAGCGGCACGTGGCAGATTCTACTCTCTCCTTGGGGCAGGCAGGGGACAGTGGTCCCCAGCCACTGCCCCTCCCTTTCTCTAAAGCATATTTTCTGACAGAACAGGAGCTCCCTGAGAAGCTCGGGGAGGCCCTGCAGCCAGCTGGCTCATCCCCGTGCCCCCCCTCTCCCTATCTGCACTTGGCTCTGTTCCCAGCTCTAAAGGCCCACTCCACAAAGATAGAAATGGAGTGTGCTCCTTGCTCTTTGTCTGAAGTAATGATTCTTGGCTCCCACAGCTGTTCCGGAGGCTTCAGGGCACCAGATCAATGGTCTGAACAACAGAGATGAGCTCCTTGAACTTGGATCCTTCATTGAGGGGGCTGAAAAGGAACTGGGGCCCGCCCCCACCCTGCACTGGCTCATCTGCTGTCTCATACCCAGACCTCTCCAAGTCCAGAAGGAAGGACAGAGTTGAATGAATGACCTCAGATCCCCAAGTCAGCTCACAAAGCTATTGGCGCAGTTGGGAGCAGAGATCCAGGGGGCCCCCTACGGAGACCAGACTGGGGCTGGTATCACAGCCCGGCCCATATTTATGGGAGGAAAGCAAAGATTAAATCCCCAAGCTGTGTGTTTGAAACTCAAAGTCACTGTCTCCAGCCTGTCGGGTCCAGTCTCTGACCCAGGGCAGGCCGATGCACAGCATTCCTCGGAGTGAGGGGCAGTCCTGCTCTCGGAGGCTATCATTTTTACCCTGGTGGTTAACAGTCCTAATGAGTGAGATAATATGTTTGTAAACCCCTGTTAGCAGCAGGCATCAGACAAGTGTTGGGTATTAATCCCGCACGCTGGTGGGAAATGCTACTCAACCATTAATTAGGCGGATGTGGGCAGAGCGCACCCGCCAGATAGCCTCCGTGCTGAGAAAGCTTCCTGTCTGAGGGTGACCATATGGCCCCTGCCTTTGGAGAGCCCGAGTCTGATGGAGGAGACATTCTCTGTCCTGGGAAGCCCCTCGGCCCAGGGTAAAGAGTGTTCTTGCAGGCCCAGGAAGGACACAAGAGTGCCTCGCAACACGTACATTTAGTAACCGTCTGTGAGGGCCCTGGGTGTCTATACTGAGCACGGGAGCGGGAAGCCCGTGGCTGCCTTCGGAGCAAGGTACGTGGTGATCACAAAGCAGTGTGACCGTGAGACGTGCAGGGGTCCCTGGAGAAGCAGCATCAGGGGCTGTACCTGGAGGTCAGCTCTCTGGGTTTCCTGGGCACATCCCACGGACACGCAGCTTCTAGAGCCGCCACTTGATTTTGCTTTTTTAGTCCCCTAGGTCAGACTGTGCCTTTCTCTCCCTTCCGCCCCCTTCATTACGTTGCCTTCGTACTGGGTGCTCTTGTGGCTCTTGTCTGGAGGGCACGAGCCCCCCTTCTCTTCCCCCTCAGATTGTCTATTTCCAAGTCATTTGGGGGCAGAATGGGTCTCCAGCTAAGTGGGTCTGGGGCGAAGGGAGTGAGGAGGATGGAAGGACCAGTGAGAATCAGAAAGCCAGCCTTGGAGGGCTTCTGGAGGAGGAGAAAGAGGCTGATTTCAGTCATGAGAGCCAGGCTGTGGGAGGCATAAACGCTGGGCTCTCTGAGGGGTCCAAGGGGGAGGAGGAGGCAGAGGTGGGCCTATGCCTGGAGACGTCACCTTGGGCTTTATAAAACGGACGTGATCAGGCCACTGCTGAGCCCAGCTCCCCTCTCTGTGGGTGTTCACCCTCCCAAGTAGTGCCTGGAGACCCCACTGAGCTCCGACCCCACCAGAGCCAAGGTAGGTGCAGGGGGTGGGGTGGGGGGCGGAAGGCATCTGCACTTGGAGAAGGGTCTGTCCAGCCCCAGTGAGGATCCCCGGGGAGGAGCAGGAATTTCCTTCTAAGACTGACAAACCTATCCCAGGCAGACAAAGGGGGTGCTGATCTTTCCTGATTTTCACGTTGGCCAGATGATTCTGGGATGTCTCCGTGAATACCCTCACATTTATGAAACCAGGACCTTGGGGATCCCTTACTGTGGAAGGAATAAAGATAGTGAGAGAGCTCTGGCTGGGATGAGAGGCCACAGAAGCATTTGGAGGGAGCTGGGAAACCCCTCAGGGCTCGGGGAGTTCCATAGGACTCCTCCAAGCAGTTCTCCCAACGTATGGATGGTGAGTACAAATCAAACCAAAGCCCCCAGGCACTGTGCTCGCCCCCTACACTGAGAAACTGGGGTTACCCCAGGAAGGAAGCCACCCCACTTCAAAAGCTTTCCCACCACGCCCGGAATCTATTACCCACTAGGTATAAAGCCTGCGGTGGGGGCACAAAAATTGTCCACAGCTGGTCAGCCTCTCCGCCCCGTGAAAGGTGATGGTTCTTTTCCAAACAATTCAACTCTACCATGTGTGTTAAAGGCTTCTGTGCTGGGAAGTAACTGAGAGGAGGGTGTGTGTGTGCGTGTTTGCGCGCATTCTCACCTGGCCAGGTGGTGATATCTACAAGGAGGAGGAGGTGCTACAGGTGGGAGGAGCTTGGAAGAAGGAACACTAACCTAACCACACTGCCTGCCCACCCCCCGACCTTCCCCACTCACCACCCTGCTTCTGCAGAGCCGCCAGAATGCTTCATCTGAAATGCAACACACATGCCCCCCTCGGGCTCTGCCTATTCTGGGATAAAGCCCCCCTATGCCCCTCCTCCAGCCTCACCACTGTCTTTCCTCCCGCAAACCTTCGGTGCTCCCGGCCCTACCGGCCCCTGTGGGACAGCTCCTGCGGCTCCTGCTCGAAATGCCTTCCTTAATCCTGTATTCACGCAGCCGATCCGAGCTTCTTCAGAAACTCAGCTCCGGAGCGCCCCCTGTGGCAAAGCTGCCGCCCCGCTCCGGGATAAGCTCCAAGGGCTCCCCCAGCTCCCCGGGTACCCACACGCCCCCTATCATTTCTGGTGTTATTTTGAAATGGTCGGCTAAGAAGACTCAATTTCTTGAGCTAGATCTGGGGGGGGGGGGGGGCTGGAAACGAGCAACCTTGTGCCTTAGCACACCTGTGACCACCACCACCACCCCCAGCATCTAGAAGAGCGCCCAGCTGGTGCTGTGATGAGGAATGATCTCTGCACTAACCTGGACTGGGCACATGCACGGCCTGAAGCCATAAAAGAAATGGGTTTACACTGCTCTAATGATCTGATCCTGCCTCTTCTCTTTAGAGTACGTGGAGAAAGCCTTGTCTGGGTTTCAGAGCATCCCAGAATCAAAGTCTGTAAGGAAAAGCAACCGAGGGGATAGTCGGTGACCAGCCTGATGCAATGCTCTTTTTCACAGAGAAGCAATATGGTCCAGAGATGGGAGTAACTTGCTCACACCCCACAGGGAGTGGGGCAGAGCTGGGGCCAGGCTTCATGTTCTTGATCCCACTTCGGCAGTCTTCCTCTCTGCCCCATTCCCAGGTCCTGGAGAGGAATGGGGGGTGGGGCAAGAACAAAAGTATGGACAGGGCTGAGCAAACCATTAGCAGCCTTCAGGCACCTGTGATAGTACCTCCCCTCCCACTCGCCACGCCCCCCACCACCCCCACAGAGGCTCTGGTCAACACCCTTTTTGTCCAGCCTTTGGACCTGCCTCCCCATCAGTTTGTCTTTACTCATGTTTGTTGGACAATCTCAGAGTGCCGGATGACTCTTTCAAAGGCAACTCAACCTGAGAGCTGGAAGGGCTGGGGTGGGGGCGGGGCCTGAGAGGGAAGGCAAAAGGGACCTAGTGATGGCTGGGTTCGCAGCTCCCATCTCAGCGGCCAAAATCACAAGGTCAGTTCAATTCCTATCATCTTGGAGCCCATGAAGAATAGAATAAGGAGACAATTGACCCGATGAATCAGGGAAAGGTTTTTTTCTCTTCTTTGTATTATGGACAGTAAGACAATTTAGTGACAGTCCTCAAGGCTTATGTGAAGGGCTATGAGGGAGAATAAGATGATTTCCTCTTTCTTCCTTTTTTCTTGAAAAATGAAAGGAATGGAGTCTCTTGCAGCAGGAGGGAGCTGGGCCAGGTTCTGGAAGGTACAATCTCACAGGAGAGTTGAGCACAAGAAGTCCAGGATGTATCCAGAGCCCTGCACAGAGCTCCCAGGCTCCAGAAAATGTCTGGACCTCAGCGCGCTCCACTCAGTGGAGCTCCTTGCCCTGCTTGACTTCATCCCTCCCTCCTCACCCCTACACACTGCCTCTCACTCTTGGGCTCTCCTCTTCTCTTCACATTGGGCTCTGTCCCCAACACCCAGCCCACAAAACCATGCACCTGGCTTAGTCTCCTCCCCCTCCCTCTGTCTCAGCCTCAGGACACTGACAGGACCTGGGCCTCCTCACCACGATGAACTCACTGGTCTCGTGGCAGCTGATGCTTTTCCTCTGTGCCACTGTCTTCAGGGAAACATTTGAAAAGGAGGTACCCGTGGAGAACCCTGGACCAACAGGTATGCATTGTCTGGGAGGAAAGGGGGGAGTTGTTGCAAAGGAGAGGGAGGCTAGTCTATTGATGTGAGTTTCACACTGCATTTAATGGGAACCTAAGACTAACCCATGCAACCCCATTAATTGGGGACCCCATTAATCTTGCAAGTAAGGGATGGCTTACTACTCTCTCTGGGCATCCGTGGGCCCCCCTAGGTTCAGGTGCTTGTTAACCACTGAGCTCCTTCGTGGTCTTCTCCCACTGCGTGCTCTGCTCTACACCAGCCACCTGTCTGAGCAGATCCGTTGGGGAGGAATTTACTAGGCAAGTTTCTTTCATCAGTGATCTCGGGCCCTTTGTGGGGAATTGGAAAAAAAAAATAAAGACTTAAACAAAAGGACAGATCCTCACTACTAGTCAACCTTATGAGTCCATGTGCAACTGATTAGCTGGAGAAACTGAGGCGCGAAGATAAAGAAGCCTCCCCAAAGTCAACCAAATGCCGCAGCATCCCAGCAGGTGCGGGAGTTGCCAAGAGTGTGTCTCTGAGGGGCACAAGCCGGTCCCCGAGACAGAAGTTGTGGGTTTAACACCGCTTGGGGGTCAGTTTTCTGGGCAAACTAGCACGGAGCTTAGCCTCTCCGGCCCGCAGTTCTGCTATGGAACTCGGAGCGTACCCTCTACACACCGGATACCATCCAGCCCGGAAGATAGCCCAGAACAAAGAGGGTATGGCCCTGTGCGGGGGAGGAGGGGGTCCTTGGCCAACAGTGTCTTTTCTCCGGGATCAGGTATTCTTTCTGGCTGAGCGAGGCTCTCCCACAGAATAACACTCCCGCAGCCCGAGGGATGTTGACCTGTTGGCTCTTTCGGGCAAATGGCTTTAGGTGAGGCCAGAAACAGTATAGCCTGAGCAGTAATCCTACCGCAGGGATGATGGGCTTAGCCAGGAAGGAAGCCATCATCCCTCCGGGGCCTCAGCCAGGCCCGAAGCAAGTCAGGAGGGGCCTTCTAGAAAGACAAGCATTAACTCTGAACCACGCCCACACTCCTCTTCTCCAAAGTATGCCAAGGCATTGAGGAGCAGGGCCCAAAGCCAACGACCCCCCCCCCAACACACACCCACTCACACACCAAGCCTCATTTCCACTAATCTCGTGCCACTATTGGCTGGGGTTCTTGTCTACTCCGAGCTAGCGGCACTATTTTCCTGCCAAAAATTAGAGTGAACTTAACAAGCCTTTTGCATGTGAAGTGGGTTCCAAATTAGCCTTGTTAGCCCTCAGCGTGAAGGGGAGAGATTATACCGACAGCGGGGGAGGTGAGCAGGTCAAGGTGACCCAGATCATTTCCCATTCTCCACGGAGTCCTCCTGGAGCTCATTAGGGGTCGGAGTAATTGGGGAGGGCTATGGGGCACAGTGGTCCTAGTTCTGCTCTCGTTTCTGTAACTACAAGCTGTTCATTCACTTTTATATATTTAATAAGCATCTGAGGCCCTACTGCGGGCACATCACTGTTTCAAGCACTCAGAGAAAGAGCTAAATGAACATGGCTCCCACCACCCCAGGAGCTCCCGCCGTGCAGGAGCCCTATGCAGAGACAGGAGGGAGGGCCCGGCAGGGAGCCAAGAGCGTCCTTGAAAGCTGAGTGTCCAGCAAATACTGCAGGCTTATTTCCAAGCTCTACCGCGTTTGCTTCCAAAAAGGAAATAATTTAATATAAAAGATGTTTAAGATCATCCTGGAAAACCTTTGAAACCGAAGCTGTGTAGAAAGAGAGAGGAGCCATCCGAGCTGAGACGGCAGGGTCCTGCCTCGCCTTGCGCTCTGGGTTTCCTAGAGGTCAAGGAAAGAAAGGCAAGCACAGGTTAGGGACGTGAGCCCGTGTTCCAAAGCCGTCTCTCCCCGGACCCTGGCCTCACCGCAGCCTCTCTCTGTGGCTCTGTCCTAGGCCAGCGGCTGGGACCCCAGGCTCTCGTGGCCCCGTGGGAGCAGAGCCAGCGGTGCGCGGAGAGGAAGGCAGCCGGGGCTCAGTCCAGCCCGCGGGGGGCTTCGCTGTGCCCGCCTCCCGAGAGCCCCGCGGGGCCCCAGCGGCGGGGCCTGTGCGCCCCCCGCAGCCGCCTGATCCCCGCCCCCCGGGGCTCGGTGCTGGTGCAGCGGGAAAAGGACCTGCCCGCCTACAACTGGAACTCCTTCGGCCTGCGCTACGGCAAGCGGCAGACTGCACCCCCCGCGAGACTGGGCGGGGGCGCCTGGCGTGGCTGAGCTCGGGGTGCAGGTGGGGGTGGGGGAGGGCGTGTACTTCAAACCCGGACTAGGGAACCCGGCTTGCGGGGTTGGTGGGAGGGAAGGGCAGTGGGAAGGGGACTGGAGTTTCCGTCCGGAAGTAATAAAGGGAAAACTGCAGACACACCGAGTGATTTGTGGCTAATTTCTGCGAGCAGCGCAGATGAGATTGTTTTCCTTCTCTCCTCACTTGGATCTTTTGCTGATTGTAAGATAGCTTTTCGCGTTATCAAGCACAGATAACAGTGCTTTTCGAACTAGAGACTCGAAGGACCAGATTGGTTTTTTCCCCCAGTCTGGGGCAGATCAATACTTACAAACCCACGCAGAGAATCACTAAAAAACTGAAAATTTTTTTTAAATAACTGAAGAGAAACCCAAACTGGATGCTGTTTCGGTCTTTCAGCAATATCGGGTTTCTGTTAAAATTTCTGAAGCTGTCTTCTTCATGCCTAGGCCTCTCTGATTGCCCACAGGTTACAACATTTTGCAGAGGGCCATGAGCCTTGGCCCTCACTCTGAGCAGCACTGATCTAGGCCTGGGGGAGACGGCGTCTGTATACAGCCAGCGGGACAGCTTGATCTGGAAGACGATGCCAACCACTGCCCTGTCGGCAGCCCCACAGTCAGACCGCCACTGGGGCACTCGGACGGAGGCCCTGATGCCCCACTCGGCATGCAAGGGGGTGTCAGAAATGGCCTGGCCGTCCATGCCCCTCCCTCAAGGAAAGCCCCGGATGGGTCTACTTCTTTACGTGTATCTCTTTTCTGCACCCTTGGATTCACCCAGAAGGCTGGGCATGTGGTAGCCCCATTTTCGCAGGAGAGAACCCTGAGGGTCTGAAAGATACATAACTCCCTGAAGGCACACAGCCCCTGAGCAGCAAGCCTCATCAGGTTCCCAACACCAGCACCTGGCTCCCCCGCTTTACAGTCAGCCCCGAGACTCCATCTGAGCCAGCCAGGCCTGGACATCGGAAAGGTCAGTCTGCCTTGTGGGGACGTTCTTGGAGGCCCCCCAGGAGAGCTGGGGTGTTGGTTGCTGCGCTAAGTAGTAGAGGCTGGTCAGTAGGGAAACAGAGGAAATCCACCCCTCCGTCCACAGGAAAACCCAGCCCTATTAGGCAGCCCGCACCTACTCCTACCCTGCTTGGTCTGGGATGGAACTGTTCTTTCCCAGAAGGATTATGGGGCCACCGGCATCCCGTGAAGTGCCCCAGTGTTCCACCCATTACAGAAACCAGGACTCCACTGAATGAAGGCGGATGCGTTGCTATAGCAATGAGATGGGCTGCCATGGGAACAGGACAACCTGCCCCACCCCCATCTCTATCCTGAAACCGTCTTCCAGGATCTTTCAAATTATCCCTGCTGTGGTGAGCTTCCGTCCTAGCGCTGCAGGACAGGGCCACGTGTTTCCAAGGCCCTTCCTCCCCCAAACAGCCTTAGGGCGCCTCTCTGTGCCTCTGGGAGAGAAGTCTTATCAACACCTATCTGAGAAGTGAGTTATCCTATTCTTTCTGACCCAGGACTCAGAGGAAGACTGTGGGTGGGAAGAGGCTGAGGGGTCTCAAACGTGCTGTTAGGCAGCCCCGCTTTACAAAAGTCCCTGCGGAGCCCCCCTCGTCCTTCCTCACAGCCTTAGGTTTAGGCAGATAGGAGATAAGAGCACGCATGTGTGTGTGTGCACATGTGTGTGCGTGTGCAGGCACACGCGTGCTGCTTCAGGGAGAGGCTCTGTCTTACAAGAAGCAAGCCTGTCTGTGTGAAGAGGGCATGTGGAAGGAGTGAATATGAGAACCACGTGCACATTCATACACACGTGTCTGTGTGACCCTGTGTGTGCTGTGGGCCCCTCTAACTACACTCCAGGCTTTATCAAGTGCCCCCCAGGACGCCTGTTCTAGCTGAGTCAGAAGCCCAGCTTCAGCAGGAGGGGAGCTGGTCCCCCGCTTCTTGCCCCAGGACTGCAGCCTCGAAGACTCTGGGCTTTCCAGTTCTTCGCCCCGTATCTTGGGACAAAGGGATCTTCGGTTTCATAGGGTTCCCAGCCTGACTCTGCTCCCTAAATTGGAAGGGAGGTTCAATGCAGGCTGGAGGCTGTGAGGGGCTATACACATTCCTGGCCCCAGGGGCTCCCATCAGCCTCTCCAGACTTTCTGGGTGAGCCGGGATTGCTAGGGCACCAGAGCCCGTGGCATGGAGGTAAGCCTGCACTCACACCCATTTCTTCCTGGGATCTCTGGACAGTCCCCAAGGGACCAATAATCAGGAGGGTCTGGGCTGGAGGAAGGGAAGGAGGCAGGGTCTCTTCCCAAGTTCCACCCCTTTTGGGAAGCCTGTTAGAATAGCAGGGAGCTGGTCTCAGATCCCCATGGAAAGGCATGGGGGACAGGCATGTTTCTGCCTCGAGTATCACTCGTCCTATATTGACAAGGAACGGGCAAGTACGTGCAGTGTGCTAGGCTGCCCCCTTCATCCTCACAGCAACCTCATGAGGTGCACAATGTCATTCCCTTGGACAAAAGAGAGAAACTGAGGCTGGGGGAGGGTAACGGGCATGCCCAAAGTTACATAGCAGAAAAGCTCCAGAGCTGAGAGCTCGGTCCCCCACATTCTCACTCCAAACACCACAGTCTCCCTACACACCACCATGGTCCCTTTCTCTCTAGCCCTGTTGTGCGTGGGGCCACCCCTTTCCCTGCATGATTTGTCTTGGGGAGCAGGGCTGGCAGCCAGTGTGACCTCGAACTGATCCCTCTCCAGCTTTTTTTAGAAGATTTTTTTATTTTTATTTTTATTTTTATTAGAGAAATGGAGAGAGAATGCAAGTAGGCAGAGCGGCAGGCAGAGAGAGAGAGAGGGAGAAGCAGGCTCTCTGCTGAGCTGGGGCTCAATCCCAGGACCCTGGGATCATGACCTGAGCTGAAGGCAGCCGCTTAACTGACTGAGCCAATCAGGCACCTCACCTCTTCAGCTTTGATAACAACACCGTCAAGGTTACCAAAGACCAGAGCAGGCCTCCTCCCCTCCAAGCTCCTGTCAAGGAGCCAGACATCTGAATTTTGCCCTTTTGTTCTCCTTCTCTCTCCGGAAGTGGCCTCTGCAGTCTTGGCATGACTTGGTCACAGGGCATGACGGGAGGCAAGTCCAGGGAGAGCCAGCCGGGCCTCCCTCACCTTCAGTGCTGGCTGCCAGTCTACAGCCGTCAGAGCCCAGTGCATCTCTGTGCTTGCCTCAGAGCTGGGAGCCCCAGGACAGGACACACAGTCGTCCCCCCCCGCCCCACACACCTTCTCAGGTTCTGTTTGCTTCTGTTTTCTCGAAAGCTATCCAATATAGTCTCTCTCTCTCTTTTTTAAAGATTTTATTTATTTATTTGACAGACAGAGATCACAAATAGGCAGAGAGGCAGGCAGCGAGAGAGGAAGGGAAGCAGGGTCCCTGCTGAGCAGACAGCCCGATGTGGGGCTCGATCCCAGGACCCTGGGATCATGACCTGAGCCAAAGGAAGAGGCTTTAACCCACTGAGCCATCCGGGCGCCCTGTCCAATATAGTCTTAACTACTGTCCTTTCAGTGTGTTACCTCCACAAAACCTTTAAAAAGTACCACTTTGGACACATGGCTGTCTGCTCCCTCCCAAAGCCCCTTACGAAAGACACCAAAGGAACAGAGAGGTATGAATTCTCAAGGACAAAGAGAAGGGACAGAAAGCCGCAGCAAATGAGAAATAACGAGCAGATTTTGAAGATGGCAAGTAGACTAAGGGCTTGGCAGAATGAGGGAAGCTGCCACCTCAACACCAGCGAAGGAGGTTCCTGAGGCATTCCAGGACAGTCTCAGGACTGGGAGGTGCTGGGCTGAATTCTGGACTGAAAATGGCAGAGGCAGCATTGGCGGGGCGGGGGGGGGGGTTGCTGGCTGGAAATCTGAACACAGAGCACTCAGACTTCTGCATCCCCCTCCCCAGTCCACACAGCCAGGCTACGCCCCTGGAAGAGGCTAGAGCTTCGTCCCTTGAGGACACAGTGGAGACCTTGAGTCATGGGAATACAGGCACCATGAAGTTGGAGCTGAAGAGGGTGGCTAAAAAGACAGTGTGAAAGTCTGAGGATGTCTATCCAGCCCCATCCCAAATCTCTGTTCCCAGATGTAGGTAGCAAAGTGTTACCTCGCCAGAGAGAAGGCCCCAGAGAGAAGACCTCGGGTATGGACATTGGAGATGCCTATCTTCATCCATCTGGGCTGCTCTAACAAAATAGTATAGACTGGGTCGCTTAGAAACAACAGAAATTTGGGGATGCCTAGGGGGCTCAGTCAGTTAAGCGTTTGCTTTTGACTCCGGTCATGATCCCAGGGTCCCGGGATCGAACCCTGCACCAGGGTCCCTGCCCAGTGGAGAGTCTACTTCTCCCTCTGACCCTGCCCCTCTTGTGCTCTCTCTCTCTCACTCACTCTCAAATAATTAAATAAAATCTCCAAAAACAACAGAAATGTATTTCTCACAGCTCTGGAGGCTGGAAGTCCAAGATCAAGGGGGCCCAGATTCACTGTTTGGTAAGGGTCCACTACCTCGTTCATGATGGCTGTCTTTTTGCTGTGTCCACGTATGGCAGGAAGGAGGAGAGACCTCTCTGAGGTCTCTTTTCTTAGGGGACTAATCCCATTCAAGAGGGCTCTACCCTTATGACCCTATCACCTCCCATCACTTTGGGGGATAGGATTTCAACATATGACTTTGAGAAGACACAAGCATTCAGCCTACAGTAGTGCTCCAGAGAAAAGCCAGCTCAGAACCCCCATCTAAAGAGGGGTGACCTGGCATAAGCCTGCTGTGCACACTGAATTTCTAGGCCATGCCACCTGACTCTCAACCATGAACCGAGAGCCATAGAGTCCTGGGGATTTGTAAAAAACCTCATCTGGGTGGAGACCAAACCAAAGAAACACAAAGAACACAGAGACATCATTTAAAAC